CGTATCTCTTATCTTCTTCCCCCATGGTAATCATCTAAATTTTACTCTCCTATACGTATTTTGCATAATGGCTCTTCCTCTTTCTCGACTCACCCTTCTCGTACCTATTTACTTTTCCTCCCATGGATTCCCCCACTCTTATTCACTCACAATCCTAATCGAACCTTCCAATAACCGTAATCCTTCCTTTGCTCTCCTATTCCTTCGGGAAGCTCTCTCCTCCTCCAATTCCCTACATTGTCCCTACTACACCATAGAAATTCAAATGCCAAATTCCATTTTGATGTTTACAATGTTTGAATTTACATTACCTCTTGCCTCTATCATCCTCAGTTCAATAATAATTTTCTTCCAATTCGCTTGAATTCACTTCTCCTCTTCGGCACACTCCTTCTCCCTTCTTCATCGACCGATGTCCATCTTTCCCTCTTCTTTTTTTCCTTTTCTTTTCCTTTTTTTTTTCTATCTCTTCAACCTATTTATACTTACCTTGTGCTTTATCCCAATCGTCCCTTTCTTTTTCCCTAATCTACATCATCCCTTTTTTCACTCTTCTCTCTCTCTTTTATTTTATTTATTTATTTATTCACTTATTTATATATATATTTTCTTCTCAGTTGTTACATATTCACACACTTAGTACTATATACTTTATATTTCCCCATATAGAGAAGAACTTTTTCTAGCTCTTTCAAGGAACGATTCACCACTTTCTTTTAAATATATATTTTTAGATAGGTGCAAGATATCAATGTCAAGATATCTAAATTCAAGTGGCAAAGAAGCTTTAGATGGAATTAGCAATAGATTTATTTAGAAATGATTGATTACTATAATAATAAAGAAATAAGTTAACATGAAAATCTCATTTTGGTTTTTACTTAAATGATACAAGGTGTAACGCCCGGGCTTGGATTTAAACCCGGGATAATCAAATTATAATAATAAATAATTTAAAGAAATTTAAAAAATTTAATTTTTAATTTTTTAATTGAAATTTGGAAGAAAATTATGTTTTAGGTATATTTGAAAATAATTTTCAAAAGTCATGACCAAACTGAAAATAAAAAAGGATCTATTTAAAAAGAAAATTAAAAAATCGGGGTAAAAGTCCAAATAAGAAAAAAAAAAGACAACGTATGACCGCCACGTCAGCAGTGCAACCAATCATTGTGTGCCGCATGGCAGACACATGGACACACATCCACGCAGGAAGCCACGCAGGCAATCCGCATGCCAACAGATCTGATGGCCCATATATACTCCTGCATGCACGGACGGCCCAAATTCATTTTCTCTTTAGACGTGGTTGAAGGACCCTGATTGCATCTGATCGTGCAGTCCAAATTTGTTCCTTAGATAGGATCGATCCAACGGCTGGGAATGAACCATGTCTCCTTGAATGGACAATCTAAATTTAATGAAGAGGAGTATTTAAACTCCTCTTCCTAGAAACCTAACCCTAGCTGCACCTAACCTCGTCGGAGAAGAAGAAGAAGGGCAATCGGAAGGAATGTTGACCACTGTTGCTGTCGCACCATCGGCACCGCCGACACAAAGGATGTGAGTTTTTTCCCCCTTTCGCTTCAAAATTTGATTCTAAGCCTCTCCACACCCATATTGGTGCCGAAAAACCAAAAGTGAAGCTGAAAACTGAGAGGAGAGCTTGGTCGAACCGTTGCACTCGTAGCCCAAAACCTCTCCGGTGAGCCCGATTATCCTTCATGTTCCCTTCCATTTTTCGACCATTGAATTTCTAACCCTTTTTTGGTACAGGATGACCAAAAGAAACCCCCAGCTGCGAGAGAGGAACGACGAAGTCGTCGCGCCGAAAAACCACCCCGCTGGTAACCTTCAGTTTTTTCATTTTTCTGACCAACAGATGCCACATAATCTCGAATTTTATAGTTTTTCACACAGAACCGGCCTAAACTGGCCAAACTGGGAGAAGACATTGTCGTAGCGGGCAGAGCCAGTGTCGTGCCAGAACCCTAAACTAGTTGAAAAATTCTAAAACCCTTATTTTTTGCATTTTTTGGGTATTTCAGGATATGTGACACGTGTTTTCAATTTTTACAGAAAAAACTCAAGAAATCTGGGAACCACCAAGAATTTCAGTGAAAAAAGTGGTGTTTCGAATACCGACCCGAAGTAAAAATCTCTCACCTTTCTCCAATTACGGTTAATTAAAGTTTAAATAATAATAAATGGTGAAATTTGTGAATATTGGCAATCTTTTATTAACAAAATACAGGTCATCGATGGAGCCGGTAGTTGGTCAGTGTATAGTTTATTTGTGTTACCTATTTTTATCTATGTTGTTTAAATTGCTTACTGTTATATTGTATGCTTTAATTTATTAATTTTAATTGTCTTCTCGTTCATTAGCTTAACTGTTTTATCCTTATCTGTTGATTAGTTTGAAATAAATGTTCTGACAACTTTTTTTTAATGATTAAAGTACCAAATTATATTGTCGTTATAATGTTATGAAATTATGAAATAAAATTTTTGTATGTAATTGATGATTAGTTGATAATGAAGATATGTATATGGAAGGCTTACTGAGTGTCATGAAAAATGTTGTACGGACCTGGTACATAGGGCAAACCCTACCGTGAACATTATCTCAGTCGAACGGAGCTGAGAAGTCCTATACCAAAAGGGATTGGGAAGCATTTGTTCACTCTCATACCAAACGATGTATTGAGATGGTGGTACATTTGGCATCTATTACCGGAGGGGGTATGGGGACGACTGGTTATTTAATAGATTGGATATTAAGTCAATGTATAGGAGGAACCCCTATGGACCCCCAGAGATATCAGTAAGTAAGTAAAAAAAGTAAAGTTTGATTATTGTTGTTTCTTAGAATGTCTAATGAATTACTACCTTAATTATTTCTTTCACGAGTCTTATTTAAGGACCTAAAAGGTGAGTATGAACTACGTTTTTAAAATTAAATGAATTTACCAAAAAATGAGAAAATGACTCTATTGATTATTTTATAATTTTTACAAATATTTGATTTTTCGTATAAGTTGTTAAGTGTTGGTAGTTTGACTGTACTAGTGTAGTTCATTCCTTTTATTTAACCATTTCAAATCAAGACGACTAAGATCTGGATCCTGAACAGTAGAAAGGTTAGCGACTAAAGGTTACCTCCCATTTTTTATCGGAGTTACATTGTGGAGGTCAACCCTATAGTTTTTTAGTTGCATTTATATTTCTGTTATTTTAATCTCTTTTAAGAGGCATTCTCGTAGTTTTATTGGGTATTCTGATTTAACTGTGCAAAGAATGTAACTCTAAAATTATCAAATATTCTACTTATATTTTCTCAATTCAATATTTTCATTTCATTAAATTTTAGGTTTTTATGCAAGGAGATTAATTAAGCTTTTGTGCTTGTAGTCAAGTATACTTCTTTAAATCTATAAGAGAATATAAAAAGACATTCTAAATTCACCAAGGAGTATTATATTAATGAAATAATACAATTTAATAATAAAGTAAAATTTCTCTTTTGTTTTTTTAGTACAAACAATAATATTAAGAATTAAGACAAATAGAGATATTAAGATACCATAAGAGATTATAATATATATAATTTTTTAAATAAAAATTTATATTTTATTAATTAGGTGACGCATTTAAAAAAAATACAATTTTTACTAAAAATACACATAACCCAACTTCTTAACATAAATAATATGTAACTCATGATCCAAACTCATACTCCCATAAAATAAAAATAAAAAAGTAAAATTGTCTATCATTTAGTCAAAGAATAATTAGTATGTACATATTTTTTAAAATAAATTGAAGAGAGAGATAGAAAAAGGATAGTATATTTGAATCGAAATACTATTAGAACTTAAAAAGGAGTGCATTGTTTTCAACAATTAAATTAGGATTATTACATTCAACCACACATGCTCTTAATGTGATAGACTAATTCAATGTTATTACATTTAACCAAACACTCAAAAAGAACCAAACGTATAGAAAGCAATTAGTAGGCCCTGTCCAACCCCAATAAATTTCACCATTATTAATTAACCAAGTCAATTATTTTTTAATTGAATGACGAATATTTTTATTTTTATTTTTATTTTGTTAATGGGTATATTTAAGTTAAATTGTGTAATTTATACATTTTTATTGAAAAATTATAATATTATTAATTATTTTAATATTAATACTTAAAAATGTTTAAATTTTCACACTAAAATGTAATAAAAACCAATTAGCTAATAATCCTCATGGCAACAATCTAATCCATCCAAATTATCTTTCCTAAATATATACGTAAATAGAATTTCAGAAATGACAAATATTTCTAGACCAAGAAAAAAAAGTAAAAAAAAAAAAAAAAAAAAAAAAGACTTGCACAGGCAATTGGAATTTCCTTATGATAATATTGGGCCACAAATTCCACGTGTCATCTACAGAGTGGTTCAGTAGATGCATGATAGAATTCATCATATAGACGTTGAGGTGTACCGTTGAATTACCATACGATACAGCAACCATCGTCACTTCCATATTTCTTTTGCTTAAAGCTCGTTATCTCTCCATTAATGGCAGTCGCGACTTCTTTTGACCGTTCGTTAACTGCGTCCATTAACACCTACGGGAGAGCTCAGCGTATAATTGGTTTCGCCCCAACATGCAAAAACCTTTTTGCTTTCTCTCATCCATCGCCCTGTTCCTCCAAGCTTCGTCCCTTGATTTTCCATGTTAACTCCTCTGGTTGCTCTTCTCCGATCCTGGAAGAAACGACGTCAACAGAGTTAACCACCATGGATTTGGAGCTCCATTTTCAAGAGCCAGGACGGTTTTCAGCAGCAGATGAGGATGATTTGAACCAAGTTCTATGTGGGTTGTTGCAGGATCCTCAAAATGGACGACAGGGACTCGAGTTCTTCGAGAAAGCAAAAGAAAGGCCAGAGTTCAGACCAGAAAAATCGACACTAAAGCATTTGATCAGATACTTGGTGCGAGCAAAGAAATGGGATACAATTTTATATCTTTCTGAGGATTTTAAGAATTGGAACGTGTTGCCTGATGCTAATACTTGTTCAAGATTGGTTAGTAGTTGCATTAGAGCTAGGAAATTCAGAGTTGTGCAGAGTCTACTTCAAGTTTTTGAATCAGATGACACCACAGTTGTCTTCGCATTTGATTCTGCCATGAGAGGCTACAACAAATTGCACATGTTCAGGAGCACAATCTTGGTTTTCGAGAAGATGATATCTGCTGGAATTGTTCCAAACCCGGGATGTTATTGCCAGATACTGGAAGCATACCAGAAAATTGGCGATACAGAGAAGGTGGTAGGTTTATTTCATGAGCTTGAGAGCAGGAAACTCGTTTTGACCCCATTTTCAACTGATATATACAGAATCTTATGTGAGTCCTTGGCCAAATCAGGTCGAGCTTTTGAAGCTCTTGAGTACTTTAGAGACATGGGAAGGAAAGGGATTTTGGAGGATTCTTCAATTTACTCTTGTTTGATATGCTCTTTTGCTAACATCAGAGAAGTAAAGGTAGCTGAACAGCTTTTCAAAGAAGCAGAAGAGAAGAGGCTGTTGAGGGACCCTGAAACATTTCTCAAGACTGTGTTGATGTATGTTGAAGAAGGGTTGGTGGAGAAAACTCTTGAAGTTGTTAATGCCATGAAGAATCTGAACATAAAGGTTTCTGATTGCATCTTATGTGCAATTGTTAATGGCTTCTCTAAAAGAAGAGGGTATCAAGCCGCAATTAGGGTATATGAGGAGTTGACCTCACAAGGTTGTAAACCTGGACAAGTGACCTATACTTGCATAATCAATGTCTATTTCCGTCTTGGTCTGTACCAAAAAGCTGAAATGTTATTCTTAGAAATGGAGCAAAAGGGGTTTGATAAATGTGTAGTGGCTTACTCCAGCATGGTGGCCATGTATGGGAAAGTAGGGAGGGTAAGAGATGCAATGAAGCTTGTAGCCAAAATGAAGCAAAAAGGGTGTCAACCAAATGTATGGATCTACAATTCTTTGATTGATATGCAAGGAAGGGCCAAGAACTTGAGGCAAGTTGAGAAGATATGGAAGGAAATGAAGAGAAGAAAAGTTGCTCCTGATAAGGTTACTTACACAAGTGTGATAAGTGCATACAATAAGGCAAGGGAATTTGATGTGTGTGTGAGTTATTACTATGAGTTTAGATGGAATGGAGGTGTAATTGATAGGGCGATGGCAGGAATCATGGTGGGTGTTTTTTCAAAGACGAGTCGAGTGGATGAGTTGGTGATGCTTTTGCAGGACATGAAATGTGAAGGAACCCAGATGGATGGGAGGCTGTATTATTCTGCTTTGAATGCTTTGAGAGATGCTGGGCTGCAAGTGCAGGTCAAATGGTTGCAAAATAATTTCAAAGCAATATAGACTCCTCATCCTCTGCTTTGGCTGTCAATATTTGATTGTAGACAAGAGAAATGCTACATGTTTTTTTTTTTCTTACAGGAAATGGAAGAGAAGCAACAAATTAATTAACCTCCAAATTCTTCTTTTCTATTATTCAATTGAAGGTGCTGCCATTAAAATCTTACTTGTGTTGCCAGCACTTGATTAAACCGAAAGATATAATGTAGTAAAGAGTTCAACAATGGATTGTGCTGTGACTTTAGTTTTGTGGATAGTTGAGAGCCAAATGGCCCATATCTTTTATATATTGCACGCACTGTAAAGTGGATGACAAGCCAAGAATTCTCTGTAATGAAAAAAGATGAAAGGCTTCCCCCCCCCCCCCCCCCCCCCCCATTTTTATGAAATTATTTTCTTGTTTCTTTTTACTCTTTTTTTTTTTTTTTTGGCTTTCACAAGAAAAGAAGAGGGTAATCCCAAATTAATGCCTTTCGAGTTGAAATATAAGTAAATAATAAGTACATAAATATTTTTTATGTAAGTAATAAATATAAAATATGTTAGATATTATAAATGTCTAAATTAAATGGACATAAAAAAAAAAAGAAAAAAAAACTCAGTTACAATATCAATTTACATATTTTAATGAAGAATGAGATTGAGCTTTTTATTTTATTTTATTTTTTCTTTTTTTATTTGATATCTATAAGTAAGTTCTTAATTAGTTTTGAATTTTACTAGGTGTCTAATGAAATTAAATTTTTAATACTATTTTTTTATTTGAAGATGACTCGCTTAATTTCGAAATAGTATTAACTTTCAATGAAAAATGTTCACCTAGTCAAACAAAATTCAAAACTCTATAAGGTGTAAATTTGTATTAACTGAAAATTATTGAACTGTATATTTTGTAACAAAAATTATTATGCTCAGAACAATTTTTTGGATACAAAGGAAGTGATATTTAAAATCAAATTATTGGTACCCTTTCATTTAAACATTTTATACAACATTATATATGCACACATTTAAATATATTACTGAGTTAACAAATATGTTAAAAGATTTTATGGTTTCATATTCCCCATTATTATATACTCCAGTTGGTTTTGAGTTGGAGGGGTTTAACTGTTCGTCCTCGAAGCACGTTCGGTCTATTTCTTCATCTCTCTTGTTTTTTCTGCACATGTAATAATGTTTTATATTTTCTGTCTTTTCCCTTTCTTCGCCTCTAAATGGTAGTCTTTATATTGATTTGGTTTTATTATATATGATCAATATCATCGTATGACGATAAAAGTTATTTGTTGTAACTTTTTTTGTCTTTTACATGGAAAAAGAACACACAAGAACATGAAGTTGCAGGCAAACATGGTTTATTTAGATTATTACGGATGGATAAGATGAAGAAAACAGAGAAATTATGCATCAAAACATCTCCCACTTATATTGCACCCTTAAAATCTGTCCCAAGTCTACACAATAGGGTTTCATCTTTCTGGTAGCTGTTCTTATGGCTCATTCATCCTCGAATGGCTCAATTTCTCACTTCGTTTAGTATATTTCTTCATAGCTTTCTTCTCCTACGTGAATCCTGTAACTTGGTTCCGTCAACTCAAGATTTTAATTTTTCTGGTCCTGCTGTTTAAGTTGGCAAATACCCATTTCAATTTAATTTCTTCCAATGGGTTTTCACATCAACTGCATTATTTCCTAGTTTTGTCTGAAATTGTCTACCAGTTAAATTTGACCAGATTTCGTCAACAGCACAGGTTTTACAGTTAAATTTGAAGTGGTAATGTTTTTTTTCTTGATTTATTTCTTGTCAAAGGAGTTGAAAACTCTTAGGTTACCACATTACCAACTGTTTGAAACATAAAACATTTTGAATCCGCTGTAAAACAAGGAGATACGGATTACCTTCAACTTAAATGCAAATAAATGAAAGAGAGAGATAGGGAGAGAGTTGAAGCATGGAACAGAGAGGAGGCATATGCATACGACACAGAGATATACACAATACAGTGGAAGACAACGAGATTACAAACTGAAATTAGGAATCCAGAAAAAGAGAAAGAAGAAGTCTGATGAAGAAGACATTATTAATAAGTAAAGACAAGTTCATTGAACTAACAATGCTTAGTGCAGAAGCAACGACGACGAAAGCCACGGCAATGACCACCGTGGAAACCTTCTGTTTGGCAAACAGCGGCACAGTTGCTCCTGCTCCCACATGCTCCCTTGAACCTATGGCTCTGCGACTCGCATGTCCTTGCTTCTCCAATCTCTGTCAACAAACAGATTTAAGTTACCGTAGACGAGTAAGATTTGAACAGAGAACCATTAATATGAATTTCAGTGGAAAAAAAAAAAAAAAGGAACCTGTTGCAACGAGAAGCAAGAGAAGGACGAAGATAGCTGGAAACAACTTCCCCTGGCGATTCATCTTCTTGGAGAGATTTGAGATTAAATGATGAGAGCTACAAACAACCAATCACAAAGAGGGGTTTATATAAGGGGTTAGTGGAGGAATCTGAATTATTTCGAGCAATTCTTTTCGGAAAAAGAAATCAAAATTGTAATGATTCTCTTTCTGTTGGCTTTTTCCCGTTGGTGCGCTGTATTTCTCTGACTCTGCATTTATGGCGTTTCATCTTTATTTCAGTGTCAGCCTTTTTTTCTTTTCACCATTTTTTCCAGATCAAAGTACTTTTTATTTCTATATTATTACATTTATTAATTATATCTATGTTGTAATATTAATCTAATATAATTACAAAATTATTAATTTAATAAACTTTTATTAGTTAATTAACTGAATGAATTTAAAGGGTATTTTTTATAACACGACTTCTTAATAATTTAAATTTTTTGATGAACCCTTTAATCTGGCTTCCACTTAGCTACAGTTTCTTTCTACCTGGTCTCTGCCTATCCCAAATTCAGCTTACACCTGTTTTATTATCATTACACACACTCACATTGTGCTTCTGCTACGTATCTTTAAGTTGATGAAATTTCAACATCTTTTCTTAATTAGAATTTTTTCATTCTTATTTGTAATTTCTCGTGACTAAATCATATTATAAACTAAAATAGTTGATCTTGCTGACCAAATTTTCAATATTAATCATCCTTAGCCCATTTAGTTTAATTAAGCCCAAAGCTTTGTCTGACATATTCTTAAATATTTATACATGCTTTGTTTTAAATATAATATTTATTTATATTTAGTATAAATTATTAACTTAAATAATTTTTATAAACAATGTTATTAGTGTTATGATGCATGTAATTTTAAGTGTATTTGAAATTTAATATCTAGAATTGTGAACCAGTAATAAATTCAAAATAATATACTGTATATTTTAATCTACAGCTAAAATGAAAATTTGAGGGGGGGTATTTCAGCTAATTTATTTTATAAGAGTTTATAAGTTTATTTTTTTTAAAAAATATACAAAATTTATAAGCTCTTAAATTTGAAACTTATATAATATTGATAGAGAATTGAGAGATTTAATCCGAATTTAAAAATATGATATTTCTCTTCAATATGCGTTGAACTCTTTAGACATATAAAAACTACTAATATTAGATTTGTTAATCTCTCAATATGTACTTGAGAAAGAATAAATTTTGTTTCCTAGTCTAGACTGAAAATAATTGAAAACTATAGAAATTCTACAATAGTAATGTTGGAGGTGTTGATAATGCCATCAAAGAATTGTCAAGTGCTTATTCTACAAGAAGAGTGGTCATAGAAAGTCTAAATTTCATTAACTCAAACTAAAGGTAATGAATGAGTCTAATTCATAGTGGGTCAATAGAGGTTCAAGTATTCATATTGTTATGAATATATTTTATTATTATTTAAAAAAAAAACTCAATTAAATATTACTTAAGAAAGAATTTTGTGATTTATTAAAATAAGTTAATATGCACTTTTTAATATAATTAAATTAGAGTTATTATGTGTCATTGAATCACATAATATCTTATAATATTAATATTGGAAGACCTTTTATATATCATATGAAAAGTCATGATCTTAAATTCTAACACAGTATTCTTATTATATATATATATATATATTATAATGTCTCAATTAAGTATTTTATTTTCTAAATTATATTAAAAAAAAAAAAGCATTATTATTATGAGATATTTGGGTAATTGTATGAAAAGTGAGTATTGAGAATAAGTAGGATGTTGATTTAAGAATGAAATTTTCCACAAAATTATCAAATCCTTTTCATTGGCAAGAAGATTAAAGCATATAATTTTGGCATTACTCACCAGATAATTTTGACCAAAACTCATGGGTCTTATCTTTCCTCTTGGTTCCCAAATTAATCATATATCTCTTTAAATGTTGAATCATATTTTATATTTTCCTATTAAATCCAGTTTCGTATATTCAAAACATCAAATATCCCACTCTCTTACGAGACTCGGACAACTAAAAAAATTACCCAATTCAACATTTTTATCTTTACAAAATATAATTTTGAACGTCTCCTCTCACCATGGTGTTTCGTGTAAGTCATAATTAATTTGGATTTTCTCCAATCTCCATGGTTTTTAGAAGGTTCCTGGGTTTGGATAGTTGAATAGAATCTTCTTCCAATTGACAATTTTTACTGTAGAAGATGAGGATTAAGGTGCCTTTGAATTACTAGTGCCTATTATCTTGTTGTGGTAAGCGCTTTTTCAAGCATTTTTCTCTTCTTTTTGCCTCCCTTCATTAATTAAACTAAGCTAGATGTATCGAATACATAGAGATCTTCCTCTATACATATATATAGTAGTTCCTACATAAGAGAGGAGTCTTGTGAATTGAGGCACTTGCTAATACGTCCTCTAATATCCATCCTTCCAACTGTGGGATATATAAATTAACCTTTATGCTCTCCTGACTTCATTCTACTTGTCCCAGCTATAGCTCGTGCATGCATGCATGTGAATGAGAAACTGAACTTGTAACCAACAACATCTTCATCTTGATTAATCAAGGACTGTGCATATATAGCATTATATACATATATACCTAACTAAGGATCAAATGAGAAAATGTGAGATGAAATAATTAATAAGAAAAAAACCATAAATAAGCATTAACTAAGCAATATTTCTTAAGCTGATTTTTTGTTTTTGTTTTTTTTTTTTAAAAAAAGAATATAATAGATAGATTCGTTGGAAAAATGAAGCTTAATTAAAGAAGATCAGCCGGAGATGTATTTAACAAATGAATGAAAAGGAAGACGAAAAGTCAAGTTTGATCGTAATGAGTGGAGATAAGCGAGTGAATAGCTCCAGAAAGATTGGACATGGCGGAAACGAGATTGGCAATCCCTTGTCGGTTCATTTCATTTCGACTCTCTTCAATTTGCAGTCTTCGTTGTTCCAGTTCCATTACCTGCTGATGCCGCTTCTCCTTCTTCTCCTCGCAGCTCTTTAGGGTTTTCGCCAACACCGACGCGCTCCGGACGATGCTTGCCCCTATCTTCCCAACTTTTCTTCGTTTTGTTTCGTTGTTGGGATCGTTTCCGCTGGATTCTGTCTCTGATGAATCTGAAACTTCCACTGTAAATCCACATTCAAATTAATTACTACTTACAACACAACTACTTCCCTGATTACTTCTCTTTCTCTTTTGTTTTAGCTCTGATAATTTCTTGCAGCCGTAGAAATTACTAACAATCATGCTGTCACCAGAGTTCAAGTTCCAAACACAACTGCTTGCATGATTGTGTTTTTTCAAGAATTGTAAATATGTATGTATATATGTGTGTGTGTATCGTATAAAGTTTAAGCAGAAAATGATTGTTCAATTGGAATCAGCAACCGATATTACTTTAAAAAGTTTTAATCAATAATCTAAAATAGAATCTGATTAAAAATAAATAAATAATTATTTTTTAATAGAAGAATTATATTTTTATGCAAAAACAATGATTGTTTCACACTTCATCTCTCGAGAACTGAATTACTGATATTATTTAATTATTTTTAATTAAAAGACAAGGGAGAAAATTAATTAGAAAAATGAAAATTAAAAAAAAAAAAAAAACACAGTTTTTTTAACCATGGAGAATCTACATTCTACATCCAATATATAAGGGCCACGGCCCACGGATTTTACTTCTTACACAAATCGTCTGTGTCCAAATCCAGCGGCCGCTTTACAAAGAAAACAAAAGTCATATAATCCAACGGTACATATTTTACACTTTATCAAATCAAAATGGGATTGACAGTACTTGAGCATGAGAATAATGGGGGGTCCTAATAAATGTCGCAGAGTTTTCAACCCTGCACGTTTGACCGAGAAAAAATTTGCAATAATATATTAAGAAAGCTCAACGACAAAGAAGAAGAAGAAGAAGAAGAAGAAAAAAAAAAAACAAAAAAAAAAAAAACTTGTTTCTTTCTTTTTTCTGATTAAATTAATTTGTTAATTTAGCCTTTAGACAATTAAAAAAACAAAAGTAATTATCAGCAAGTGATGTGATGCGTACAAGGAGAGTAAGAGTAGGACCTGAGGCTTCGTCGTCGCGGGGAGCAGCCACGTCGGGCGGCGGAGGGATGGTTTCGTCCGGGGGTTGTTGGGAAGCAGCGGTGTGTTGTGGAGGTGGCGGTGGTGGGGCGGGAGGGAGAGCGAGAGGAGGAGGAGGTGGTAGCGGCGGCGGGGGCGGCGGAGGAGGAGGAGGCTTGGGAAGGATGTGGTGTTTGCGCTGAACGACGTCGTGTAGGGCCTGGAAGACCTCGAGCGACATGTTGGTGGGGAGATTATGGAGCTTACGGTGGTGCCTTTCTAGCGACCAGTAAGAAGGGAGATGAGGAGGTGAAGAGTCATGGTAGTGACGGATCTTCTTGTAGTCACGGAGGAGATTGTCCCACTTGTCGTTGCATTGGTTCTGGCTGCGATGGCAGCCATGCGCCCAGCAGTAGTTCTCGACCCATTTCCACCGGAGCTCTCCGGGTTTGGAGATCGGAGTGGGTTTGGTCCGGCGCTCATCGTCGAGTCTCTTAGCTGTGATGAGGGTTAGAGTCTCCTGGATGGTCCAGTTACCTTTTCGGTAGTCGCGGGTGGTGGGCTGGTGGGTGGGTGGCGGTGGCTGCTGTTCATGGAAGGTAATGGGTGGGGGAAGTGGCGGCGGAGGGGGTGGAGGATCGGACATGGTGGTTGTGAAAAAATAACAAGGGGGAAGAGACAGAGGGAAGAAGAAGAGTAGGAGTTGAATAGGTTTTGTTGGTTTGTGTTGTGGGTTACGAGACTGAGTGCTGACAAGCAGAGAGAGTTTCGCCTTTTTCAATTTTTTGAAGTAAAAGAGAAAACTAGAGTGTTGATAGGCTGAGACTGAGACGAACCGTACTGCCGATCTTCTTTAAGGTAACATTGTTAACTATGTTACTTTTAAAAGTCTTGATTAATAATAATTAACTCGATAATTGTAAAATTAAGTATAATTATTATTATTTTTGATTAGATGGTAAGTAAAGTAGGCATATTACATGAGAAGATGCTTTTTTTTTTTTTTTTCTATGAATGAAATATTGGCAACAGATGGTTTTATATTCTGGGAAGAAAATCTGTTATAATTTTATTTTAATCTGACAAAATTTACCCAACACCCGTCCCACAATACGATTCTTTTAGAATCTTTCCGCATACTCATTTTCCAGAAAAGAAAAAAAGAAAAAAAAAAAAAAGATCTTAATATTCGTACAATGCATCAATAATTACAGATTAGAACACAACTATTCTTCAAAACGTCGTCTGTGTATGCTTTCATGGTTACAGTAGATTGTATGAACATGAGTATTTTTTTTTTTCCATAAAACAAGTGGAATAAAAAATGGTAACGGGGAGTTAGGTTGAATCATTACTCCCAAAGGTGACAAAAATGAGGACCCCGTAATGCAGAAAATATCACGTGGCAAGATTTACATGAAGCTGGGAGAGAAGAGATCTGAAAGAGATGATCCGTATCTTTCCAACTTTTTATTAGCCCACGTTCACACCCCAACTCGGAGCAATCAATTCAAAAGTGAAATTGACTTTTTATTTTTTTTTCTTCTTTTCTTTTTATCCCAAATTTTAAAATTGAAACGACTTCGGCTTCGTGCCTCCTTATTTCTCATTGTCTCCGTTTTAGGGGCAACCAAGGAATTGTCCGAGTAACTTAATACAAATACCCGTAGGGACCCTCCACCACTGATGCCCCCCCCCCCCCCCATTCAACGTTGAGTCAGTGGGGACCTAAACCCTCTCTCAATGGGGACAGGCCTGGTGGTTGCGTTTCGGGCATCATTGAAATTATGTACGCCACAGACAGACCCACTCAGTCCATGAGCACCTCTAAGGCATCATCCAGTAAAGCATCTCCGTACCCAACCTATCCATTATCTGTCGGCGCTTCTACTTTCTGAATGTAACCAAAATAAACACTAATATTTCATTTATCCAACATCATATCGAGAATTTACAAATTATAAATAAACTTGTATTATTTTCAAAGATTAACTTTCAGGCAACAAAACCAACTACCAAAAAAATTAAAACATATAGCAGATGTTAAAAAACCCAAGGCCTTCATCACTGGCGAAGCTCCTCCTTTCTTCTTCTACCTTCTCTTGAAGACTCTTTGCCCAGGACAGAATTCACTCCCAAGTTACTGATATTATCGAGTTGGCAAACCCCGATTCCTCAAAGGTTAATTTACTGTTGTAATCTAGACTCTTTGTTGCACCCGGGATTGCATGTGTCAAGCGAAGTGCTTTTGTCTTTGCCTCCTCCAGTTGAGAGTAACAGAATGACCACAGCAGCTGCAGATCAACAAGGCCAATCAGCAACCACATATCAAATGTAGTCCAAATACTAACCAACAAAAATATCGCCTGTTTGTCAAATCCTCCAAATTTTTTCCAGTTAGATACACGTGTGCTTAACAGATGTAGCAAAAAGACACTGAACCCAAAATATTCTTACCTGTATTGGATCAGTTCGCAGGAAATTTCTTTGAACCCTGCGTCCATCAGGAAGACGAACACCAAACCCTGCATAGGAGGTTTCTATCGCCTTTGGGTTCTTCAGGCAAAGGTGGATATTCCGGCTTCTTAGATGAACATGTTTCCTCCTCCGCGGTAGCAGGTATGTCCTTATCAGTGCAAGTCACCACTTTCTTGTCTTCTACTGCCATAGAAGCTGCAAGTGCTCGTTGCATTTCTTCATCTTCGTCATAAGTCTCATCAGGGGACACTGTTGCATATATATCGGCTTGTACATCAGATATACAATACATAAATATTACAGAGATCTACTTAGAAGGCACAGACATCCCCAAAGACCAGGGTCTTTTCATATATATCGGCTTGTACATCAGATATACAATACATAAATATTACAGAGATCTACTTAGAAGGCACAGACATCCCCAAAGACCAGGGTCTTTTCATGTTTGCATGCATGAAATAACAATCTTATTCAATCTCTTCAAAAGAGGAGAAACCCCAACTTTAACCTGTAAGTATATGAATTACCCATGTTTGAGTATAGAACTTTTTCCTCTTTTCAAGATAATAATTTAGATATATTTTACCTTTTTGTTTTTTTTCTTTTTGAGAAACAATATATGCTTTAGTTTCGAGCTTGCATTAAATTACATTCTAAAGTATTTATCGCTTATAGTATGTGACCTTAAAAAGATCTTCTCACGTTAGTGAGTAGTGGAAAACAGGAAATTTGAGCTGAAATTATATATGATGTCATTACGTAACTGTTTGCTAACTATTCTGATCTTATGCCTCACATGTCTACAAACATGCACGATCTGATGATTCCCCTCTCCTTAATATAGGAGAAAAAGAAAAAGGTATGTTAACAACTTACCTTTAATTTTCTGTTGAGGAGTCAAATAACTTCCACGTGGACGTTTGTGAGAAAGAGTTGCATGATGATGACTTGGGCCCCCATCCATGAATGGCACTAGATCCTAATCAATTAGGAAAAATTCAAAAGTTATATAGATAATACAAATTGATCCTCATTAAAATTTTGAAATTTTACCAATATATTGTAATGGATACCTCTAGCAAACTCTCAGGTTGAACCATTCCAGACCAAAAGCGCATTTTTTGGCCTGTAATTGGGTCAATAACAAGCACCACTGGAATAGAATCCAGTTTGTAATAAGTGCAGACTTTCCTGCCTTCACTTGTATCTTCATAAACCTGTATAGATATACCACTATCATTTCCATGTACATCTAAATAATGTGGGAAATAGAACAAGAAAATACCAGGAAGAAAACTATAGATGGAAGGTTCTGAAAGCATTTTACTAACCTGCCAGAAGATAAAGTTGGTGCTAATAGTTTGAGAAACAGCTTCATTTGCCCATGTGTCTCGATTAAGCTAAGTGAGGCAACACGTAAAATCAAAAAGTGAGAACATACATTTTAAAGTAAATTGAGGTAGTCCTGATAACAAGAGGAGCAACTGAAATGTTACCATGTGAGAGCTGAACTCCTTTGTAGATTGCAAGTTCACTAGCAGCCATTTATCTTGAGCAGATGCAGCTCCTTTTGCCTGCATTTCATTGGATAATTTATTTATACTAGAAAGAAAAGAGAAGGTGGGCAAATATAGGCAGAACAAACAAAAGGTTCCAGGTAGCATTGAAACAGATAAAGATGAAATAAAATACCATCTTCTGTTGCTTTAGGAACAATCATGTTCCAAACAATTCCACATTCTCAGATTGTAAAATGAAACTAAGAAAGTGGCTCCGAAAGCAATTATATACAAATAAATAAGAGGACATTAGTGTCCAATAGATAAGGATCCTCCTGTTAGAGTTCTTCAATGACCATGATGAATATCAGCAATGAGACATAAAGACTAATCCGTGTCTGAGGGCCACAGAGAGAGAGAGAGAGAATAACAGACACACAGATGAACTGGATCCCACCACTAGCAGTAAAATAGCCAATGCAACATATATCCTCACAGGCTGTACATAAATCAAGATTCAAGTAATTACATATAATTGTAAACAACATTAGCGTCCTTGGTATTGCTAAGACAGCAGTTATTGCTACACTAATTATAAAAAACAAAAAACGAAATCTAACAACCTGAAAATGGTTTTGCTAGCAACATCTGAAGCTAGATTAATACAACTAGCATATATTCAATTATTTTTTACCCCCATAGATTTTTGAAATATATCAATGTCCTTCTCTGCACTTCAAATAACACAAACACCAGAATGAACATCAGCAATGAATTTCAATTCTTAAAACATAATTTTTTCTATCTCACAACTGATCAGGCCATGGATACAAAATACATAACAAAGCTACTAAAATCTGACACAACTTACTATTTCAGTCAACTAGTGTATATCTATATAGATAATAAACAGATACAAAACAAAAGTTACCTTTTCAAATGGACCATGGAACATCAGATGGAAAGGAGGACGGTACAAAGAAGCAAGATTGTCTCGAGGCGCATCTGCTGTAGATGTAGTGCCCTGGTCTGATTCCCAAACCCCAGGCCGCTTCATTTCCTCATCAAAATTACGAAATGCAATCAATGAACTAGATTCGTTTGGAGTATATGGCCTTGACGTCCTACAAGAAGATAGGTGATAGAAAACATAACGTTACTAAAGACAAACAAAAACTTCTATAATTAGTGTTTAGTAACATGAAAATTGCTAATGATAGTGTTTACTAATATGACAATTGCAGGACTGAAAAGAAATATACTCCTATTTTATGCAACATGTAGGAACTGAATAGCAACAAAAATACAATAAAAGTTGAAACAATCTTGTAACCACAAAATGGTGGAACAAAGTGATGAAGAACAAGGAGGACCTAAAATGGACATATTTATACAATAATATACATTTATTTATATCGTAATATTTATTTATTATTAAGGTAGATAGGTTATTTAGGAATTATTAATATACTCCTATTTTATGCAACATGTAGGAACTGAATAGCAACAAAAATACAATAAAAGTTGAAACAATCTTGTAACCACAAAATGGTGGAACAAAGTGATGAAGAACAGGGAGGACCTAAAATGGACATATTTATACAATAAGATACATTTATTTATATCGTAATATTTATTTATTATTAAGGTAGATAGCTTATTTACGAATTATTAACTATAGGCTTGTTTTAGTATGAGTTTATTATTTCATATTTAATTAGGATGCTATTTAGTTATTTTCTGCTATAGGTTAGTTAATTATTTAGCTTATTTTCCTATTTTATAGATTCCTATTTTCCTAATTCTTTCCATTCAACTTATTTTCTTCTTTACTAAGTTTTTTAAATTTTCTATTTTTAATTATATTTTGATGCCTATAAATAAGATACATCGGCTTAGTTATTAAATAAACTATTGATGATTATCGTTCAAATATTGAGATATCATTTTAACTATTAAGATTCAAAATCGCTAAATTTAGTCAAGCTCTATCTTGTTCTACATCAATTGGTACCAAAGCAAGAGGATTCTTCATCTCCTTTGCTCTTCATTTTAGCTATGGAAGTTTTAGACAAAATGCTAGTAAGAGTCGGGGAATATGATTAACTAAGGGGCCTAAAAGTGGGCGTGTTGGATCATGTTGAGGAGGTTATCCACTTATTTTTTGCTGACGATATTATGCTTTTTCCCAACCGAAGAGGAGAGTTATGCTCAATCTCATGTGTATTTTGATGGGTTTTCAAGCGCTTTCAGCGCTCAGCATTAATCTTGTTAAATAAGAGATGGCAAAAATGGGGTCTATGAGAGATTTGGATGGCTTGGCGACAGCTTTGGGCTCTAGGATTGCCAATTTGCCAATCAAATATTTGGCTTACCTCTTGCTGCTAATTTAAAAAAAGGCAAGAATGTGGGACCAGGTGGTGGATAGGTTTGGACAGAGGTTAGCAGGTGGGAGAGAGTATAAAGGAGGGACATTCACACTCATTAAAAGCACACTGGATAACTTAACTATTTACATGTTCCTATTGACTATCCCAGTGAATATGGTCAAAAAGTTGGAAGCTCTTTAAAGCAGGTTCTTATGGTGTGACACGTAAGGAAGAAGAAGATATCATTTGGTGGCATGGAACAAGATAGATATAGGCTGAGATAGGCTCTAGGTGTGTATCAGGTGGAAGGTTGGCAAGGGGGACAGACTTAGACTAGGGGAGGATCAGTGGTTGGAAGGCATAACCCTCAGAGACCAATATCCTCATATTTTCGGCATAGCCCAGCAAAAAAAATATTAGGATTTGTGGCTCTTTTATGGAAGTGGGCGATGGAGAGAAGGAATGACAAGTTTTGGTATTGAGAAATCTCAATGACTAGAAGATAGGTGAATAATAACAAATTGTTAAGCACTTTATCCCTTATGACTCTGGATGAGAGCAATGACAACCCTTAGTGGTGCAAAAGACCCAGCTTCATGCAACTCCTTTATTCAAATATCGAGATATTATTTTCAATATTGAGGCCCAAGGTCTCCAAAATTTTGGTTCTTCATAAAAATTCTCTAAGTTTTGTCTTCGCGTTCTCTTTGTCTTACATCACAAAGTTGTTCTGATTACAACAAACAATGTTTTCCTAAAGTTCTCTTCCCCTCCCCCTTCTCTCCAATCTTCTCATGTGGCATCAAACTATTATTTCTTTTTATTCTATGTTTAATTTTTACAATAGCTTGAAGTTGTTTTTTAAATTGAACATACATATTTTTGTGAAAACACACGAGCATTACATCAAAGAAGTATAATGTTTGTGATTTTCATAAAATTTATAATTAATAATGATTAGCTTTAGTCGATTGTACATTCATCACAGAAATTACATCTAACTATATTAAAGTACATCAATTATATAAATTAAATAATATATATTAAAATACAGAATAAAAGTTAAATAGAAAAAGAGTATTCAAGTAGTTATATATTGCTTTGTACTGTCCATATTTGTATCCACCAAATACTTCATTTTCTCATTTAGTCTATCGAGTGATATTTGTTTCTACCCATTGTGCTCTATCTTAAGCCAAACACTATTACAATAATGATCAACCATCTGCAGCAGTTAAAAGGATACAAAAATTAACATGCAGCAGTTAAAAGGATACAAAAATTAACATGCAGCAGTCAAATAATTGGAGAACAAGGAAACAGATTAGCATGCCATACACATATATAACAGCTGAAACTCATACAGACACTAGGAAAAATTAGATCATTTTTGACAACATTTATCCTTCCAAATGGAAAAACCACAGAATAGAGCATCTATCCTGAAACTCCAAAATATAAATCATAAAAATAATAATAACAAAAAGAACAATAAAAATAATAACAACAAAGTGCTGCCTTATTTACACCAAAAAGAGGCAAAATTTACGCTTCAAGTGAAATAGAGGGGAAAAGACTTACAAGTTGACATTAAAAAATAACCAATGAACATCAATGAAAAGCATCAGAAATATAGATCGGACAATCAATAGAAAGGAAATGGAAAAAAAAGACAAACTGAGAGTAAACATACCCATACAACATGGCATTATCATATAGAGTCTCCCTAACGACAGGTAATGGCGCGCGTACTTGATCTTCACCAATCTGTTCCACATTAGCATTCACCGCCTCATTCAATCCTCTAAGAGAACAAATAGAAACCAAAAATAAGAAGTACTGTAAAACTGAAGAAGAAACAAACTTGACGACACAAACCATAGAACTAACAGAAAGGTAGCATACCTAAAAGATTGTTCTGCTGAAGAAACAGCATTGTCTATAACTGGAGAGGGTGAAGCTGCTGACATTGCGCCACTTTCATTGCCCACATAAAAAAGCTGAATAGCTTCCTCAAGTTTCCAACTTGTCGCCTGTTCCACAAATTCCACCATCAAGTTGCATACACCAATAGATAATTTAAGGTTATAAGGTATAGCTAGAATCCAATGGAATGAAAAACTGAAGATAAAAAAAATAGAGCAGAAAATTAGACTTAAAAGGTTCAGTTTTAAGAAAGTTTGAACAATAATGTCACCAATATTTGAACAAAAGAACAACATATGGGTTACACAGCCAAGCTCTAAAAATGGTGTGGCAACATCTAATACAAGATAGTAAACCACTGAGCTAAATTAGAACCTTCAACCAAAACATTCATGCCCACACATTGTGCATACTTGGTGGCAAACTAGATTGTCTAGTGCTATAAAGATAAATGTCCGGTTTATTAGGTAAATTCTTAAAGGAAAACAGACCCGTTTAAGATCCGAAATACCATTCATAATCAAAATCCTCTACTATCCGGATCATAACCCTCGTCACCAGTCACTTGCTCTTCCGATATCTAACTATCAGTAAAAGAAATCACGTAGCACCCCTTAAATCCACAAAAACTGCTAATCACCTAAATTCTTTCCAAGCACCAAAAGCAAACAGCAAAAAGTGCCAATCCATAAAAAAAGATTCAATCTATCATTCCAAAACCTGTAGCCTTGGAAAAACCGAAATCCAATTAACCATAGAGAGACATACACAAAGATATGAAAGAAAAAGAAAAGAACCTGCAAGAATTGTCTGGCTGTCTCGGAAGTTTGGCCAACAGCGATTTCAAGGAAGGAAGACACCATACTCTGCTCGTCGTTAGCTGACAACATGTCCTCCATATTTTGTTCTTCTTCTTAGTGTCAATGTAAGCGAGAAAAGCCGAGTTGAGGGATGTTCAGAGGGTACAAGTCATACACGTATATATAGAGAAGTTCAGTGCGATCGACAGATAAAGAACAGTGACGAAATCAAAACTGTAGGAGATTGATTGGGAAGGAAGACATAAATAGGGTTAGGAGGTAGGATATTCCTTTCCGTTTAGGAAATTGAGAAAATTGTTAAAGCGTGTTTGAAATTACGATTTTATCCGCATCCTACTTAGGAAAGGTGATTCTGGTACGAGTGTAATTAGGTCATAAAGTTTAGAATATTTTAGTAATTATAGGTTACCGTAAGGAAATATCTTCTCGTCTTTCGTTAAAACGGCGGGGCGGGTCCTGCGGAGGAGGCCCAAAAGCCCAAACTTTTTGGGTCATTTGGGCCAGTGACTATTAGTTTTCGGGCTTCGTTATTACAATTCGCTAATCATAATTAAGCGAGGCCATTTTCAATTGAAGCAACTAGGATTTTACAAATAGTGACATCATGGTATGATGTAATTATTCAATTGTGCATATCTGAATTTAATAACTACTAATAAATATGAAGGGACAGTTTAATTGGGCTTAAATTAAGCTCATGGCGGGGCACGAGACTGGTACGTCCATTTCTATACAAAACTGTAAATTTATAGAGGCATTTGTTCGAAAACATCCGTTTAATTTAATTTTTTTAATTTTTAAAGTTTTATAAATATTTATATAAGTAGTTATAGTTAATTAAAAAATTAGGTGTTAATAAAAATAAAATAATTTAAATTAACATTTAAACATGATTAACTCTAACAACAAATATAATAATAACATTAAATATTTATTTATTACAATTTAATTAATTTAAATAGAACTACAAATAAAAATAAAGTTTTATTAATAAAATATATAACGGGTATGGAATGAATACATTTTTAAATTTATATTCGTATACTGTCTGTTTTAAATTTATAATTTTATATTCATATTTATTTCGTAATTTATTATTTATAAATCTATATTTATTTTATCAGAAACAAATTGGCATGATTTAGTAGGTAATTCACCACTATGCCCATCTTAACTTGGACCATTCAATTAAATTAGTTTGATGTAATTCTCTTAAGAAAAAAATAAATAAATTAGTGACTTAATTTTTTAACTATATTATGATTATCAAATATTTTTACAGTTTCTATTTGTTTTCAATATATTATGATTATCAAAATAAATTCAATATTTTGTATGTAGTTCCACTATGAATTTTTTGAATATCATAATCCAGGAAATTACAATAAAAAATTTGTTTGGGTAATTAATATGTACATTATTGGTTATTACAATTGTGTTCACATAAAAATAATAATGATTAAGTACTTCATAAAAATGTTTATGTCCATTATAAGTAGTTTTTGGATTAAATAATAATATAATATGTATCAATATGTACATCATAAGTTGTTTTGCTTGGGATAACACAAAAGTTATAGCCTTAATTAATATGTACATCCCATATAGATCTCTCCAAAACTTGGTGATATAATTACATTAAGATTTTTCCTACCTTCTTCTATGTATTATATGAAAAATATAATAGAATATTTTACATTCTAATTTATTAATTTTTTAATACTATAATTAACTTATTCTTTAATAATTGCACTCAATAGTTTTAAAACTTCATAATCATAACTTAGTTATGAACAAATTTGTATTTAAAATTAGGAAGCACCCTAATAACAATATTGATGGCTATAAAGTATTTCGCTAAGGGTTTTAACAAAAAAGAACGAATATATTAAAAAGATACTTTTAGTTTTGTAGCCAAGTACACCGCCATTTGGGCCCTTATTTTCTTATTGTCTCTTCTCAATGGAATAGTGAGTAGTTGGGTATCTCAAAAACTTTCCTTCACGAGAATAATAACGAAGATGTGTACGTGAAATAACCCACAATATTTTCTATAAATAATTTCCTAATCATATCTATAAGTTTCATAAAGTTTTATATGACCTCAAATAGGCCCATAACCTTTATTTAATCACTTAAGCAATTTTTAGTAGCACTCTACGCAATGATCCAAAATTAAATTTCAGAGTTCAATATTCTTAATCTAAAAAAAATATCATAGAAATCAAATTTAAAAAGAAAAAAAAAAAAAATCTATATTTTAAGAAGGACCTAAATGAATAAGATTTTCAAGATGATGGTAAAACTAAAATACTTAATAAATGTTTGACACCTCAGCTAGGGTGTCCTAAAAAACCAACCAGAGAGAGACAAGCGGCAGACCACGTCATAATCATGTTGGATGGACCTAATTTCGCGACGCATATATTATGTGACAGATTACATGGTGAGGAATAAATTTAAATGACCAATATCTCACCTTTTATTGGACGACCGAGATCGAATCATCAAATAATATATAAATTAACTTTATTTGACAAAAAAATAGATTAAAAAAAGTAAAACTCTAACAGTCTATTTAAATAAATTTTAGTGATAGTTAATTAATATATGTCAATAGCAGTGACTGAATGATAATATCATAATATTGGAACGACAAAAATTTTTTACGTTTGTATGATTATATATTAATGTATGTTAATGACATATTTTTGTTTAGATGATAGAATAGTATGGTTGTATTTTCAGTCAAATTACTAATTTACCCATACCTATCATATGTAATAGTAAATTATATATAATAAATATGTAATAAAAAAAATTGTTTACCAATATAATTACATTTATATTTAAAGAAATAATTATTACACATAATCAAATTAAATTTGTATATTTTATAAAATAAATAATAGTTATTTATGTTATCACATTAATTTAATTTTAATAAAAATAAATTTATTTATATATTAGAAAGTTGTAATTATATGTTATTATATTAAATCTAAAATTATTTCAACAAATAAAAAATTAAAATGTGCTTGAAATAATCACATACCATGAGTTAATTTATTAATTAATACTGTTTAACAAATTAATCATTGATAAAATTTTATGTGTGCAACATATTCTTTTTATTAGTTTCAAACTTCTAAATTCATTTTTTTAACAAAAATATACAGTATATGTAACGGCCCCGGAATTTTAGAATGAAATATGTGTATTAAAAATGTCAACTGCGGAAGTGT